AGACCGTGTCATTGGGCGTGATCGATGCGTAGTCCTCGGTGAAATACTCTCGAATTCCGTTGTATCACCAATCGGTATCACATCATCATCAATAGAATCATCCTTCGGCTCCAGCTCCAGATCTCCTAGCAGCGGTGATTCTTGCAATGGCGCGTCTCATCTGTGATGTCAACGGTCAGCTCACCCAAGGGGTACTGCTGATCTGGCCGAAACAGCTCTCCCTGATCAGACTGGATTCCCACACGTCGTTTTGCTGGACGAGATGAAGGTGAATCGTCGGTGTTTGATCGCGATCTAACGCCCCGTTTTGGAGAACACGACGGCGTCTCGTCAGTAGCGGCTAGTTCTGCGGCCAGTAAGCTTTGCGCAGCTGCACTGGCCGCTCGAGCTGGTGGCCGGCCAGCCCGACGGCGCCATGATTGCGATTCGTCACCTCCTTCGTCCAGTGGTTGATCACTTTCCCCGCCTGTAGCTTCAGCATAATTTGCGTCACCTAAACTGCTTCTCATAAAGTCCTTCTTTACGTACAACGAAAGGTGAAACAAAACGAACCAGGAAGTTCTGCTGCATTCACCTCATGATGACTGCCAACTCCGCTAGCCGTCACAGCCACATTTTGATCGTGGTCATCGCCTTCACCTTCTTGAATCGATTGCCTGCTGCTGCGTCGCCGTCGGCTCTGTTCATCCACCACTTCCGAGTCAGTTCCTTGAGCTCGAACTGGCCTCCGCGGGGAAGAAACTGTTTCGATCGGGGAAGTCGACATGACATTTTCGAACGGAGCTGCAGCTTCCTCTGGGGTGCGTACTTGTTCCGCTTCTGATCTCCCACGCTTCATTGCAATTGGACTCCTGGAGAAACATTCATAGATATTTGTCTATAAGGCAATCGAAGGCGCTGGCGGACAATGTGGGGGGGGGACGGTAATTTAGCTTTGGTACTTCCCTCAACATTTCGGGCCATTTAGAGAGCATTTCAAACGCTTAGGCTGCGTTTGATACTTTGCGGCAGAGTGCGTGCGCTTCGCAGCGTGCGAGGCAGTGCCGGGAAGATTGCTATCGATCTAGCATTCCCAGCGTCACCAGACGTTACGTAGCGTTCATACGTAGCGTTACGCCAGCGTCTTCGCCAGCGCTTGCTAGCGTGTGCGCGGCAGGGAGTAGGCTATGCTGGCGTAGAGGCGAATCGCAGTGTATCTGTAAGAGGACTATGTGGCCGGAGACGCGCAATCGACTTGTGTTTTGTCCTTCAGCTCTCATGAGTCTTACTCCTTACTGCCGCTGCAAATGCTAGCAAAAACGCTGTAAAGCGAGGGGAAACGCTGCGTAACGCTGGTGACGCTGGAACGTAGATCGTATCGCTCTCCTCCCCAGCGCCGCCGCTGGTACGCTGAGCGTACGTCTGCCGCAAAGTATAACGGCAGCCTTATACAGTTACACGCTTTACGTATACTGGCTCACGGAGTTGTCCATCTTCCAAAGATTCCAGTTTCACGGAAAAGACTTGTAACCGGACTAGTGAAGCAACGAAGTGCACATGCCCACCCCCCTCCTATTCGCCGAAATGCCCCAATAAATGCATTTTCCATGATATATAGATTTTAAGCTTCAAACTTACTGCTGTGCACTGGCAGAATCCTTGTCTGAGCGTGAGGACTCCGGTCGTTTGCGTTGCACTTTTGAACTTCCAACCTTAAATGACACTATCACTGTCACACAAATCATGACAGTATTTTGACTTCTTTGCTATTTTTGTGTACTATTTCAGCGGATTTTCACCATAAAGGCAAATGGCACGATAAATTCACAAGGCGTTCAGGATAAATACACCTACCAGGACAGAATTCCGTGCCCTTGTGCAGGTGCTTCTAGGTGCCTTTTCCAACGAAGGTACCCTTATAGTGTCCTATCAAACTGCAAATGCCGACCCGGACGCCCACGGCACCCCCGCCCACAATCGGCCGAACAGTCACATCGACGCTGGTGCTCTTATCGCTTCATTTATGAAGTACAAATGATATGAAGCATTGCTACATGGACGTATGAATACATACGTGCAGCCGTACCTATCGGAAGCGGTTGTTGGCACGATGCCAACGGAAAACTCGTCCAAAAATGCTCGTCAAATGCTGTGCAGAACAAAGGTTTTTTCGCAGGTTTTCGACCGTTGAACTTCACTGTTTGCGCCATTTTCCCACTATGTAGCACCTCCGCCATTTCTGAGCAAGTACCAAATTGCTGTGTTTTATGCCTTTCAATGTCGTAGAAACTATTGAATCCGGACAAGGATACAAAACTAAGGACCAGTGGACCATAAAATGCTAGAAAACGCGTTGTGACCACTCAATCTATCACAGGCTCATAACGTCCCAAGGATTTCCCACCAAAGTGACTCACTCACCAATGAACTTTACCCTGGATGTGAAAAAGAGCCTAATACTACCCATCATATCAGAAACTTCACGAATTTCAAAGAATTTCTGAAACTCACCCTTCGTTTTGGCTTCCTTGAAGGCATCTTCTCTTCGAATGCACGTTGTTCCGCTTCAACGCTGCGTTTTATCGCCGCCACATCCAAAGCAGGACGTGGCGCTGCACTTGACATCGACGGCCTTGTCTACAGTACACATTCTCACATATACGACAGAATCAAATCAGCACACGATATCATTACGTCGTATCCGCGAGC